TCGTGGCCGACGCCAACTTTGACACCCTCATGGTGAAGCTCAAGGGCTTCTTCCAGAACGCCAAGGCCAACAAGATCGAGAGCCGCGGCACCCGCTACCAGTACTGCGACTTCCTGGTGAAACTGGGCACCGTCACCATGGGGCCCAGCGCCAGGGGCATATCCGTGGAGGTGAGGGGCCTCTGGGAAGGGTGGGCAGCACAGGGACACGCAGGGAAATTCCACGTGGGAGGACAGAGGAGGAAGGTTTAGGGGTGACCGAATTGTGGCAGTCCAGTGCCTGAAGGGAGCTGATAGGGGAGATGGAGAGACGCTATTTACAAGGTCCTGGAGGGGCAGGACAAGCAGGAATGGCTTCACACTGCCAGAAGGCAGGGTGAGATGGGAGATTGGGAAGGAATTCTTGGCTGGGAGGGTGGGGAGGCCCTGGCACAGGTTGCCCAGAGAAGCTGCCTGTCGCTGGGGCCAGGCCAGGTTGGATGAGGTTACCCCTCCGTGTTACGTGATGAACGTTCTGGGATGTTTTCGTGGAAAGCACGCCCCTTAGCCAGGCAGGGAGCAGGGCGCTGCCCCTTCCGCCAGCTCCAGGGCTGTGGGCTGCATTCCCAGGTGGAATACTGCCCCTGTGTGATCGCCAACGACTGCTGGAACCTGCTCATGGAGTTCATGCAGAGCTTCATGGGCAGCCACACGCCCGGGATCCCGTCGGTGTTCGGGGCCAAGCACGACAGCGTGTACAGCCCCGGGGACACCATGGTGCAGTACATGGAGCTCTTCAACAAGATCCGCAAGCAGCAGCAGGTGCCTGTGGCTGGCATCAGGTGAGGGGATTCCCTGGAGCCGCTCTGGATTCATCCTCCCTGCTGCCTGCCCAGCGGGATCGGCAGTCCCTCCGACACGCGGCACGGGACGGCTTTTTCCTCCTGCATCTCCTTCCCCTGGTTCAAAGCCGAGTTTTCTAGTGCTGGGTGTGTTTCTGGTTGTTCTCCGTGGTTTGGAGCGCGTCTGGGGTTGGATCCGTGGCTCTGTGGTTCTCTGGGCGATGCTTCAGGCGAGGAATCAGTGTCCATCAGCGGGAAATTGCAGAAAAAGGAGAAATTCCAGCCAAGCACAAGGGCAGAGCTTCTGTGACTGCAAACAGCTACGGAACAGAGCTTTTAACTTTTAATTTTTTTTTTTTTAGTATCCACATAAAAGTGTCTTCTTGTATTTCACCCCAATAAAACTGTATTTTTGGAGGAGTCTGTGCACAGCAAGGGTCGTGCTGCTTTGCGTGGTTTTATTTACAGGCACAATCCTTTGGCAGAGTTTTACCTTTGATTTGGTTCAAGAGCTTTAATACCCCCAAAGGAAACTCTTTTCCCTGTGGCAAAATCTCCAGGAATTCTCGCATTCCTGTTGTGGGTGCCTTCTTAACTTGCCTTCATCCTTTAGAGCTGGTGGGACGGTTAAAATCTGCTGCCTCTCAGATGAAACCGATGGAGCCTCGGGATAAATAAATTAATTAATTCATTAATATGCCTGGCAGGAGCCCTCTCAGGCACCGAGAGAATTCCAACTGCTTTATACTGTTATTTTAAGGTAGGTAAATGCCCTGTCCCTGCATACTCTTCATTTGAGAAATCCTGGTGACTGGATTTGGAGAATAAGGGCCAAAATTGATACGATACCACTTGAAAACATTGTCCTGGACACAAAGGGCAAGTAGAGAAGGTCCAGGGATGGTTTTGGGAAGGGACATTTTCCAGGAGTTCCTTGTGAAGAAGCAGCTCACAGAAGATACTGTTGATTCCTTGGGTCCTGAAGAGTAAAGAAAATAGAAATAACTTCTCCCAAACAGATGTTTTCAGAGGCAAAAGGGGAAAAGCAGCTGTTTTGCTGGCAGAACTGGTTGTTTCAATGTGATTCTCTGTGATTACCATTCATACCTGCAAACCTAATTAACTTCAGAGTGCTCAGAGCTTTTAGATGGGCATTTAATAATTCAATCAGCACAGGGCCCAGAAAGGGCTGGTTAATGGGCCAGAAGAAATGGCACAATGTCCCCTAAGTGTGGTAGAAATTCCGACATGCTGAATATACTGAATTTTTGCAACTCTTAGCCCAAGTTCATGACCTGTGCTCTGACTTCTGTGGGACTGTTTTCAGTGGTGAAAATTCAGATAACGTCTGACGTAGTTCCACGTAGTTAAACTGGGCAAACTTAATGAAAACAAACTGCAGTTTTTCCAGGGATGGTTATTACTGTCCTGTTTCCCATTATAAGCCTTAAGGTTAAAAAAAAACACAAAACCCTCCTAATGATCAGATTAGTCATGCTGAATATGCTAATGCTTTGTTAATTCCCGAAACTGTTCTGGAACCAAAGATGTCAAAACTCTGGTCACGTGTCTAAAAAAAACACAAAGTGTGTGCTGGAATCCCTGGGGATTTCTGGGCTTTGATTAATACCTTGTGCTGTTCCTGGAGTGAGGAAACGGGACCCCTCGAGCCACGTTCTGCTCCCAATTACCCCTGTGACGTCAGTGGGTTTCCACGGGGGTGAGGATGAGGAGGATTTAGTCCTTCGTGTCTCAGCAAAGCCTGTTGCTCTCCGTTCTGGGAGCAGCTGCTTCATGTTACTCTGCGGCTTTTTATTTTATTGATGGACGAAATTGCTCTTTTTCCATCTTATTAATCCTCATTTTGCCCTCCCCGCAGCGCTGTGGCAGGTTAACGTGGCTCTGAGTGTGCCACACAAGACTCCAGGGGGTTTTCAGCGCGGTGTTGCAGCGATGGGCTGAGCCAGGGGAATTGAAAACCTCCCTAATTTTGCTGGTCAGATCATGGTTTGGAAGGTTGTTTGCCTGTTTTCTTGGTGCAAGACGTAGAGGGAGATGTGGCCAAGCCGTAGTAATGTAACACTGGATTTTTTTTTTGTGTGTGCTTCTGCCCCTCTCAAAATCTCTGGCAGTGTTGTTGCTTTCCCCAGGTGAAGCCTGACCTGGAGAGGAGCAGGGATTTTGGGGATGGGGGTCTCACCCTTGCATGGTCATAGCTTTATAGCTATATTTATATATGTAGCCTATATAAGTGATGTTTAACCAGCGTCACCAGTGCTTCAGTGGCAGAGGGAGCCCAAGTTTTGCTGCCACCCCGGGGATTTGGGGGTTTTTGTTCTGTCTTGAGCTGTGGCGTATTTTAACCTTATAAAGATGAGTGAGGATGCAACAGCCTCGTGAAATCTTCAGTTTTAATTCCTGGCAGATGTTACAGCCAGGCTTATTGCAGTG